AAATAAAAAATAAGAACGTCTCAAGTCAGTTGACCTTAAAAAAAAGAGAGAAAGAGATTATTATCCAAGTAGGTCTGACCCAATCAGATAAGCCACTTAAAAGCAAAGAATCTCATCTGGTGACAGAAGGGACGTCCGAGAAATTTAAAACACACGTACTTGGCCCTGGGTGAAATCCTCTGTAAATTTAAAGTCACTCCCTCATCCTTCCTGTTCCGTGAAGGCCCGAGATCGTTGAAGTCGTGCAGGCTGTTTGGTTGCCAGGAGCGGAGACTAACACTGAACCCGCTTGGGCATGAAAAGGGGGACTCGACTGGCACCAATGAAGGAGTTGCTTTGCGCACACAGAGCCACACTCAGGGCAGAAAAAAGAGCGGAGGGCGGAACCGTCAACCGCGTGCCTGTGGAGGACCCTGAGTGGCCTGTGTGCATCACGTACTCTTGGGGCCAATCACTGTGGACAGAGGAGGAGTGAAGCACTGTGATTGGCCCATTTGTGTCAAGTGCCCAGCCCTCAGCCAATCACTATGCCTGGGAGGTGGGATCTTGGAAGAAGGGGGCAGCCTCCTTTTTGACTTCTGTCTAAAGTAGCACAGGAGCAGTGGTGGAGGTTCTTGGGGGGGTATCAGAGGCCCCCCGGGAACCCCATTGTGCATCCAGAGCCCTCCTGTTCTGGTTGGAGAAGACAACAGGCTACAGCTTGAGGACTGGTGTGTTTGTGCCTTAGCCACGTCCAGACACCTGCCAGGGAGCAGGACGCGTGAAGAACGCGCCCCCACCCTCAGCAGCAGCAGGCCTGTCCTCTCCGGGCCCAGTGGACGCGGCCTGGCCTCTGTGCTGTTCCGCCGTGGGCCTCGTGTGCCGGGCGTGCACTCCTGTGCCGTGCGGGGTGATTGTCCTGTGTGCGCAGCTGCTCGGACGGCGGGGTCAGCCTTTGGGGTGTGAGGACCCTTTGCCACCAAAGCCTCTTCCCGCCTCTCGGCCCACATTTCGGGGGGCCACGCATTTTTGGAACAACATCAGACGTCGTCCATCTCGGGGGCCACCCCTCTGCTTTTGTTGCTAATCGGTTTCTCTTGTTTTCCTTCCTTGCGGTCTCTGTTTCCCTCCTTTTCAAAACCGAGATAAGATGCGTCTTGTTTCCTTAAGGGTTCCTTGGGTGAAATGATTCGGATTTCTGTTTGTGTTTCTGCGGCGGCCTGTGGAGCCCGTTTCAGGAGCACAAAGCCTTCCTTTATGATTTCGTCCAAGACAAACCTAATTCTTCTTTAAAAAAAAAAAAAAAGTTACTAATAACCAAAGTAATCCTGGAAAAGCCAGCTTACCGAGAACAGCTCCGCGAGGACCCTCCGCGTGGAGGAAGAGATGCTCCGTTGGAATCTTGATAATCAATCTTCCGGAGTGTGAGTCAGCAAATGCTTTCTGTAAAGGGCCGGAGAGTGATATCTTTGTCTCCAGGGGCCACACCCTCGCTCTCCCACTGACTGAGCTCCGCCGTGGGGGAGCAGCCACAGACGATGAATAAATGAACCGCCAGGGCCACGTGCTGAAGGAACAGGTAGCGGGCCAGGTGGGGGTCCTCCGTCATCATTGGCCAACTCCCGTTCTAAAGCATTTTGTGATTGTTCAGCTATCCTAGAAAAATTATAGCTAAAATCCCTGAGATGCGGTATCATTCCGCCCAGTTCACGGAGTGGAGACACTGAATATTGGTCAGTGTGTTGAGCACAGCTTAAGAGTATTCTTTGCATTGGGTGCAGTCATTCTGGGTTTGGGAATCTATCCTGAGAGTGTGGCTGTTTTTTTCTAGTTACTGGCCTCAGCGCTATTTACCACCTGGACACCTAGGAACAGCCGTCCATCCAGTGGTAAATTGTCTACTCGGAATAATAGTGCGGATGCCGTGAGTCTGGAGGGAGCTGGGGTACCTGGGAGAAGGGCTGGCCGGGAACGACCCCGGGGGCTGAGGACGGTGACCACCTTCTGCCCGGGGATGTGGGAGGAGCTTCCTCCCCGAAGTAGGTCCGGCTGGTGTGTTAGCTCAGGGACTCCGGGGATTTCTGTAAAGAGCTGAAGGTGTAGGAGTTTGTTTATTCCAGAGGTCGCCCTAGGCTGGGTGGGAACAGGGGCGAAGAGGACAGAGTGCAGGTGACCAGGGTGCCGGTCCCTTCAGCCTTGGTGAAGAAGGGCAGGGGGACCAGCCCAGAGACAGGACCGGGGAAGGATGTGTCCTCCTGACCCAGCGGATAAGGTGGGCGTGCGGAGGTCCGGAGAGTCAGCCTTGGACTCGGCTGGTGGTGTTTCTCAGGGAACCAGCCTCACAGCCCAGACCCACAGTCCGTGGCATCAATAGCAACACCTCCATGCTTGCTGCTCCGTCCTGTTGTAGGTAAACCCAACACCCGTGGGTGGAGAGTGACTCCCAGCCCGGGGCCTGGGATGGCCCTGTGCCTTCACTCACCCCCTGCTGTTACATCCAGTGTCCACGCAGCCCCTCGGGAACACACCCCCTGCTGTTACATCCAGTGTACACGCAGCCCCTCGGGAATACACCCCCTGCTGTTACATCCCGTGTCCACGCAGCCCCTCGGGAACACACCCCCTGCTGTTACATCCAGTGTCCACGCAGCCCCTTGGGAACACACCCCCTGCTGTTACATCCAGTGTCCACGCAGCCGCTGGGGAACACACCCCCTGCTGTTACATCCAGTGTCCACGCAGCCGCTGGGGAACACACCCCCTGCTGTTACATCCAGTGTCCACGCAGCCGCTGGGGAACACACCCCCTGCTGTTACATCCAGTGTCCACGCAGCCGCTGGGGAACACACCCCCTGCTGTTACATCCAGTGTACACGCAGCCCCTCGGGAACACACCCCCTGCTGTTACATCCAGTGTACACGCAGCCCCTCGGGAACACACCCCCTGCTGTTACATCCAGTGTACACGCAGCCCCTCGGGAACACACCCCCTGCTGTTACATCCAGTGTACACGCAGCCCCTCGGGAACACACCCCCTGCTGTTACATCCAGTGTACACGCAGCCCCTCGGGAACACACCCCCTGCTGTTACATCCAGTGTCCACGCAGCCCCTTGGGAACACACCCCCTGCTGTTACATCCAGTGTCCACGCAGCCCCTCGGGAACACACCCCCTGCTGTTACATCCAGTGTACACGCAGCCCCTTGGGAACGCACCTGCTGTCTAAAGTGAAGCCCGTTCCCTTCCCGAGGAGCCTGAGAAGGGGCTCACTGTGCCCAAGGAAACTGGGGGAGCATGCGGAGGGGGAGTCCTGAGGCAGTGTTCCCCCGGGGCCATGACAGCAGTGGCGGAAATGTGTTTTTTCATTTCCGTGTCCGCGGCTCCCGTGTTCAGCAGCTGTGACATCTTCAGCGCACACTTCGCAATGGGACAGGCTCTCCTGCTGGGCCTGCTTCGCCCCCACAACCCTTTGCCATTTGGTCGAGGACAAAGCGAGTGACCGTTGAAAGCAGCCGTGGAAAGGAGCCGCCTGTGAGAGGGACAGACAGGTGTCACACCTGGGGCAGGAAGCTGCCCAGAGCAGCAGGTGCCTGGGCTCCTCCCCTCGGCCTCCCCTGAGCCCCCGCAGACTGAGCGTGGGGCCTGCCCACGGAGGTGATCCCGGCGCACACGCCCTGCTAAGACGTGATCAGCCGTGAGCACGGTGGTGGTGCATGGTGCTGTGCGCCCTGCAGAGCCCTGGGCCGGGTGGGCACTGAGGGGACAGCCGTCGGGTACCTGGTGCAGAGAAGCCAGGCTCGGGGGAAGCAGGAGCTGCAGGGTGGAGGCAGGGAGCTGCCCCTGCTCTGCACCCCGCCCCCTGCCCCTCCCCTGTTTGCAGCCCTGGAGCTGGGGCGAGTCTTCTCAAGACCCGTTCCATTTCCAGTGGTAGAAACCCCTTCTCTACTTTCTACAAAGGGGACGGCCTCCGGTCACATTCTTCCTGTACTGTGCGTGGGATGGACCTCCGTCTTCCAGTCTTTGGTTTCTGTTCTCTGGTCACTCACGGGAATGGACTGTCCTGTGCCCTTCTCATGTTTTTGTGCTCAGATCCCTGCCTAGCATAAGTGGGCGCTTGATAAATAGTAACGAAATGGCAGCAGGTGGCACCTCGGGGCTCTCGCGACAGTAGTAGGAGTTGTTCGGGCACAGAGAGGGGTTTCCCAAGGCGGAGGGAGCTGCAGGGCAGGGGGCAGGAGCCCCCGGGAGGGGTGAGCTGCGGGAAAGGGGCTGAGGAGAGGGGATGCCCCATGTCGGGAGCTCCTGGGTCTCCGTTGGGGAGTGACGACCAAGGCAGAGGACAAGGAGCCACACAGACCGGGTGAGCAGGGGGCGAGGGACAGGACGGGTCCGAGATGAGGTCTGGAATTCTGGTGGGTTCCCTGAGGATGGCAACGCCTCCGTGGAACCTGGGAGGAGCGCGATGCTGGTGGGTTGGGTCTGGGGCTGAGGAGGTGGAGGGGTCTGTACTGGAGGGAGGGAGGCCGTAGGGTCGTCAGCACCGGAGGTGATCCTCGAGGCCACGTGGATAAAGTCACGTAGGGGACGCAGAGGGTGAGCAGGGGAGGTGGCCGAGAGGGGCTCTGGGGTGTGAGGGGCGGACGGGAGGCTCAGCCAAGCCGTCTGGTAAGACGGGGCGGGGGGGTGGGCGCCTGTTTCGGATTTAGATACAAGGAAGTTGTCGGTGACCTTGGCGGACTGCAGAATGCCGCCGAGGGGCAGGGAGAAGGCCACGTCCGAGAGGCTTGAAGCGAAATGGCGAGTCGACCGGCCTTTGAAGAAAACAGGCATTTGCAATTGTGGGGATTTCATCACCCCGTGTGTTTCCTGCCAAAGAATGTTGGGAATTCCAAGGAACAGACAGTTTGGGGGGCCCTGCTTGTCCTCACCTGCAGAGCGTCTGCAGGGAGCCCCCGCCCGCACCTGCACCCCCAGCCAGACGCAGAGGCTTATCACGCGTGTGTCCTGCTTTCTCTCAGGCCGGATCCTGGACCTGAAGACAGGAACGGTCAAGAAGGAGGGGCAGCAGTCGTCCATGCGCATGTGCATGGGCTCGCGGCGGTCCTTCATCTGCCGGATGAGGTCAGTCTGGGCAGCGGCGGGCGGGGCTGTGGTGGGCTGTGCCCTTCCGATCTGCCAGGGGGGCCTTGACCACCTTGGCGAGGGTCACTCATGCCACCTTGGGTTCACCCCAGTGACTTCATCATCCACATCTTTAGTTTTAATCTTGACCTGAGGATATTTTTTCCATTGACTTGTCTTAAGAGAGAGGGGAAGGGAGGAAGGGCAAGAGAGAGAAACATTAGTTGCCTCCTGCATGTGCCCCGACGGAGGCCAGGGATCGAACTTGCAACCCAGGTATGTGCCCGTGACCAGCAATCGAACCCAAGGCCCTTTGGTTCACGGGCTGGTGCTCTGACCACTGAGCCACGCTGGCCAGGGCCACGCCCCCTTTTCCACTATGTCTCAACTCTCCACCTGTTCCTCGAGGCCCTTCTAACCCAACCTCCTCACTAGGTTCTGTTCCTCGACGTGTCTATGGAAGACCTACCGGTTTCATACTTACCCTTGTGTCTCCTTGTACCGACTCACACATTCTTAATTTGTCGGTAATTATTATAACGTCGAGGGGTGTTTTAACTATAAATATCTTAGCCAGTGTGGCTCAGTTGGCTGGGCATCGTCCTGTGCACCAAAAGGTCGCTGGTTTGATTCCCGGTCAGGGCACATGCCTGGGTTGTGGGCTCGATCCCCAGTGGGGGCCGCGTAGGAGGCGGCCGATCGATGGTCCATTCTCTCTTCCTTTCTCTCTAAAAATCAATTTAAAAAAATCTTGGCTCCATGAGTAAGTTATATTTTCCTTAAGGGTAAGGGTTTTGATTTTTTTTGGTGGGGGGGAGCCTCCCATGATGTCTTGCAGACCACTCTGCACATATTTGGCTATAATTCATAGTTGTCAAAGAAACGAAGAATTTGGGAGTCATCGGGGGATTGCTCTGACTCCAACGGAGAAAATACGAGGCTCTCGAATCCTCAGACTCCCCTGTACCTCCAGCCCTGTGGCCCCAGGGGGACGGGAGGCAGGAGGTGCTCGGCCGAGTCGGATCGGTCTGGTGTATGGAATTTCTGAAGCAGTAACATGAGACAGTGCTTCCCCCTCATCTGGACATTCACTCAGTGACTCGACACACTTCCATCGAGCGTCCGCTCGGGCTAGGTGCTCTTCACGGTGCTGGGGGTTCAGCCAACAGAGTCCCTGACCTCAGCGGTGCACCGTTGGCGGGGTACCAAGTACATGCGTATAAAATGTCGCACGGTGGTCAGTGCTGCAGAGGAGAAGAAAGCAGATATAAGAGGGAGTGAGGAGTGGAAGGGCTTTTCATTCACATGTACGTAGGGCGGCGAGGGGCCGGCGTCACTGATCAGGTGGCAGGAAGTGAGCAAAGGAGACATGGGACTATCTGAGGAAAGAAAACGTCAGGTAGAAGGAATAACAAGTGCAAAGGCCCTGAGGTCGGGATGTTCTTGGCATGTTCCGGAACAACAAGGTTCTCGTCTTAGCACAGAGAATGGTGGCTGATGATGTCGCGAGGCAGTAGGTGTTAGGTCATGTCCACCACCTAAGACTTCAGCAGAAGACACGACCGTCCCCCTTGGATGTGGGGTTGAGTCTGCACAGACGTCCTGTCTTCTCTTCAGCTGACTGGGGCAAACTGGGCAGCAAGATTAGCAAGTCTCAGTGTCCACCCGGCGACAAAGGCCATCAGGTAGTGCCCGGCAGGACAGGGCCCTTCCTGGGTGCTCGGGTCAGGAGACGCCCGTCGGCTTGCTGAGTGTTTCCACTGCACCAGCCCAGCGGCGGTGTCTGAATGAGCGTGTCAGAGCGGCAGGCGCACCGTTGCTGTGAGCGGTGCCACAATCCCCGCCCACAGCCGCATCGGGCCGTCCCCTCCAGCCCTGGCGCCCCGGGGGTGCTCCAGGTGCTTTGCCAAGTGCCGGGGCCACGCGCCCCGATTTACCTGTGACAGGAGCAGCACTGCCACCTGCTGGGAGCATGACCCCCCGCCACAGCAGCTCCGTGTGTGTCAGCGAGACGCTGGGCACCGGCGGCCAGGGGCAGAGCGCCGTGCCAGCATCCTGGACGGCGCGGCCATGGATCGCCCCTGCTGTGACAGCCACGCCGGCGCTGACGGCCGTCCCGGGTCTCAGAGCGAACTCGTATCCGTGCCGTGTCGAACGTTAAGACGTCCAGGGGGCTCCTTGTCACGGGGCCGGGAGGTGGGAAGGCACGGACGAGGGGGCACGCCAAGCAGCGGTCAGCGGCGGGCTGCTGAGCGGGTCATTGAGAAGCGAGGCAGGAAGGGTCCTAGCGGAGTGAGCAGTGGGCTGCCCCCATCCCCTGCGACAAGGAGCAGGGTGCACAGGAAGACCTGACTCTGCACCCCTCCCTCCCGAGCCTTCTTTGGCCGTCAGCGGGCTTGCGGGTGTCTGGTTACATCTGGGGCCAGGACACTGCCAGTCGGGGAGATCCCTCCGCTGGGAACTGCAGCTGGAGAGGATGGTGGACAGGCCCGAGCTCGGCCAGCATCTCCGCGAGTCCTCCTGTGGGCCTCCAGCATCTGGGCTGGGCCCCGGGACCATTTCCGTGAGCCTCACCCACTGGGTCCCCTCCCTCCCCTGCAGCGACCGCGTGGTGTCCGAGCCCCGCGTGTCCGAGCCCCGCACCTCGGAAGGAACCCGGCTTGGGGCTCGCCCGGGTCACAGTACGGGGTTAGCGCGAGACGAGGCTCGTCCCCTGATCCACAGCCTGTGTCTTCTCACTCTCCTGGGACTCACGCGTTCTCGTGTTTGTTGACGCTTAGGTGTGGCAACGCTCCGTTGGACCACCTCCCTCTAAACAGAATAACCACCATGAGGAAAAGGTTCAGGTCAGTAGGCTCTTCTGAGGGATGGTTCTGGGCTGTGCTGGTGGGGAGCTGAGGGCCCTCGGCTGAGGGGCAGCTGACCTGTAGGGGGCTGATGTACAGAGGACAGGAGGCCTGTGCATCGGTTTCCGGGGCTGAGGCGAGAAAGGGGGTTGGGTGGAATTTACTTTGGACTTTCAGACCACGTGGAAGGAGGGGAAAATGGGGTGGTGGGAAGTCAAGATTCAAAACCCCAGGAGTGAGGGGCCCTGGCAGCTTGGACAGGGAAGGAGCCGTCGGCATCCTTGCCCCACCCCAGGGGCTGCCCGCGGTTGCACGTCCTTCTCCCCGTAGGAACGGCCTCGGCCCTGTGAAGGAAGGCGAAGCCCAGTACGCTGTGGTCCACTGCACGGGATACATCAAGGCCTGGCCGCCAGCAGGTAAGGGGAACCCGTGTGCCCCGGCGAGCCATTCGTCGCCCAGAGCACCCCTGTGATGTCCGAGTGACATTTGAAACGACAGTTGTGTCCAAGATTAGAAAGATGCATATCACAGCACGGTGCCTCTCACACGCGCTCGGATGGCTAAGATGGACAATTACAAGTGTTGGCGAGGACCTGGAGCGACTGGAACCCTCCTCTCTTGCCGGCGGGGATGTCAAATGCTGCAGCTGCTTTGGAAAACAGTCCGAATGACTCAAAATGGTGAGCGTAGCGTGACCACCTCGCCGACCCAGCCGCTCCACTCCTAAATGTATATACCTGGGAACGTTGACGATGCTTGTCCACAAAGAAATGTGTGTGGGGGTGTTCTTAGCAGCATTGTTAACACGGGCCCCAAATCGAAACAACCCGAAGGTGCCCATCCATGGATGCACGGAGAGGTGAGCGGTGGTCTCTCCACGCCGTGAAATTCGACTCAGCAGTAAAAGCAGTGAGGTCCTGGTTCGTGGGCGAACCTTGAGGGCATCATGCTGAGGGGAAGAAGCCAGACCCCAAAGGCCGCATTACATGACTATCCCCCTGAAACGCCCAGATCAGGGAACTCCGGGGGGCAGCGGACGTAGGCTAATCCCTTGTGTTCACAGGGACCTGTTGCTGGGGCACCAGCACTTATACCGGTGACTAGGGAAGTGTGAGGCAGTCAGTGGTAGGGACAGAGGGAAGGGTCCCTACCTGCCCCCGGGTCTCAGGGGGCCCATGACCGGGCTGCATCGGCACTGCCTCTCGGGACCCCGTTCCCAGCTGACCAGTTCCTTCTAACACTTTCCTCGTCTGAGTTAGCGAATCACCGTCATTCCACTGAGCAAGTTCCTCTTCCCGTCTCTAGTCTCAGGGTGCTCTCTTTCTTAACCACTTTATTGGGGCTCCAGGTGTACAGGATCCCACGAGCCACGTCCCAGTCATTGTGAGACTCATTCACGGTGTCCTGAGGGTGAGCAGGAGGCGGCGGCCGGCCCGAGGTGTGGGCAGGGGCGCCATCCGGCAGGCCCGCCGGGATGGCTCAGGGCAGGCTTTCTGGGAGTTGCGTGGGGTTCTGCCTCCGGAGCGCCGTGTGAACGGGCCGCAGGGCCGTGGGCCGCGTTATGCATTAGGTCTTCGACAGCCGCCCTGGAAACTTGGCCTCATGGGAAATGATGGAAGGAGCCGGGGCTGTTTATCTTGGAGAAAAAGAGACATGATTTCTGTCTTTAAGTATTTGAGGGGGTGTCACATGAGGGAGGAATTAATCTTACTTAGGTTAGTTCCAGAAGGCACAGTTTGGACAGTTTGGACCAAGAGAAGAAAGTGACCAAAAGGCCTATTTTAACTCCATAGGGAAAAATGAGCAAAGGATATAAAAAGGGCATTAAATATATATCTGTATACACACACACACGCACACTAAACCTTTGGGGAAAATTTAGTCTCCCCATAAACATAACTACAAATGACAATAATTTTATGCCATCTCCTCTTACCTATGAAATAGCAAAAAGACAAAAGCAGTGTGGGTAAGGTTTCATCCACTCCTGGTGGGGATATAAGTCAGTAGACACCTCCGTGGAATAGTGACACTGTGCGTGCAAGATGCCTTCAGATGTACAACCCTTCACAGGCACGAATTCCACTCCTAGGAACGTATTCGAATTAATCTGAACTCCAGCGATGGAGACCAGGTGAGACGTAGGCTGTGACACCCGGGTCACAGAACCCCGGACAGCCGTTCCTTCCATTAACGGAACCCGTGCCTTCCGGTAAGAGGGCACGCAGGAACGAGACAGAATGCCCACAAGTGTTAAAAACAGCCAACATGCCCTGGCCCGTTTGGCTCAGCAGTTGGAGCGTCGGCCTGCGGTCCAGAGAGACCCGGGTTCAGTTCCCGCTAAGGGCATGTACCTCGGTTGCAGTTTGTCCCCGGCCCTGGTTGGTCGTGAGGGTGGCAGCCACTCGATGTGTCCCTTTCACATCGATGTTTCTCTCTCTCTCTCTCCCTCCCGCTCTATCTGAACAAAAAATGGAAAAATGTCCTCGGGTGAGGAAAAAAAAAAAAAAAAAGCCAACATGTCTATAACATGAACACCGGGATGCCAGTTTTACTTTTAAATTCTACATGGATAGTGTGTCTGCACTTTGAAACATTGTATAGACGACGAATCTTTGTGATGTCTGTGTAGTAGACCATTGGCTCCTTTTTTTCTCGCCTAGTCCTGCGTTCTCCAAATCCTGATACGATTTTCACAGTCGGAGACAATGACCTTTGTATGAAATCAGCCTAAGTTTTCTAAAGACCCTTCCAGACCGTCGGATCAAGGGGTTTGTGCGGAATTCAGAAGTCGCAGGGTGGAGTTTTGGTTGGTTGGGTGGGTGGGTGGTTTTGCTGGGTTGTTGCATTCAGTTGTTGCGTTTCTATAAAGGGTGGGGTGTGGAGAACAAGCCGGCAGGCCTGCAGGGTTGGGGCTCAGGCTGCCTGTCTGGTGGCTACCAGTTCTCCGAGGTTTCTTGATTGGTAAGTACGCTCTTAGCACACGGAACCCTCTTTGTGCTAATCCGGCCCTGGTGCTTCATTGCATGTCCTCAGCCCAGGGCTCAGCTCCACCTGGCACAGGTACATGCTTCACGAAGGCTGGAGGGGTGGAGGGATGAAAGGAAGGAAGGAAGGTAGGGGGCTCTTGCCCAGATAAAAGGAACAGTTGACCCAGGGGGATGGGCCGGTGAAAGACTTCCTTGCCAGAATTTCCAAGGACATTTATCGAATACACTTTCCCGGAAATCTTTTAAGATGGTGGAGACAGTCATCTGGCCTGGACGCGGGAGCTGAAATGAGGTCATCGGCACTCTTACCCTGTCATAAGGTCATGGGGTTTGCAGCGCCGGGGTGGTGACCCCCTTCATGCTCAGCGATGGCTCGTCACTGCGCGAGGAACGCGCTCCCTGCTGGCTCATGAGCTCAGGGCCTTCATGATAAACAGTGACTTGCTTAGGAAGCATGACGTTTCCGAAGCACCAACCTTGATAAAAATACCTGCCGGCGACCTTGGACTTCTCCGAGGGGGACTAGTGTGAAAAGATGGTGACAACCCACCAGCAACGCGTGAGCTCGTCCCGCGACCTTCGGCGGAGGCCGACGCCACGTGCAGCGTAAACATCGCAGGGTGGTCTGGTCTGTTCCGGAAGCCCTTCCTGTTGCACCGAGCCTCCCAACGAGCCTGCTGGCATTTTATAGGGTTCATCACGTAGGTTTCAGGGGGGTAAGCATCCCGAAGACAGTTCTTCCTCCTCTGTTCCTTCGTGGGTTTAGTCTGAAGAAACACACGCGCTACGTCCAACACGCTGGAGAAGAAACCGCCCGTGACAGGCTGTGGTTTCTATTTTGTGAGGTGTGTTTGGTCCCCAGGGTACTCTGACGTTCTGAAGGTGCCCCTGGCCTTCACCCGGTAGGCATCACAGGCTGACACTTGGCTCCGAGCCAGAAGCCATTTCCCTGACAGAGGCCTCTTATCCGGGAACGATCATCTGATCTGTTTGGTTCATCCCCTAAAAATCCACGGAAAAGCCCGGCTGGTGTGGCTCCCTGGACTGAGCGTCGTCCCATGAACTGAGCGTCGTCCCAGGTACCCTGTGGGGGCACATGCCTGGTCGCGGGCTGGATCCCCAGTAGGGGGCGTGCAGGAGGCAGCCGATGGATGTTTCTCTCTCACGTCGATGTTTCTATTGCTCTCTCCCTTCCTCTAAAAAAAATTGATGAAAACATATTTTTAAAAAATCCACCGAAAATCTCTGGTGAGCTGCCAGGGTCTGCACAGGAGAGCCAGCATCTGCCCCGGGGGAGGGGCGTTGAACCAAGAGCTCATTGCCTCCCACCAGGACCATCTGGGTCTGGAAGGGGTCTGGCGGTTGGTGCCCTCGTGTGCTTTCCCATCGGTGCCTGATGCTGCCCTCCCCTCGGCTGCTGGACGTGCAGGGAGCGCTGGCCGCAGCGTGCCAGAGGCCTGAGGTTACCGTGGAGTCTGGGCTGGAATCCGAGGTGGCCGAGCCAACACTCCCAGGTCACCGGACGGCTCAGCCCTGCCATGAGCTCATCCAGAGTGGCTTGTCGAACATCGTGTTTGTTTTTCCTTCATTTGAAAATCTCCAAAAGCTGTTTGTCTTTATGGAGGCCACCAACCCGCAAGGCAGCGCTTGGAACCCTGCTGTCTCCTGCCCTCGGCCCAGCAGGTCTAATTTCCTGCTCGGGACCCTCTGACGTCCTGGTGGGACACGAAAGCCCCGACCTGAGCTTGTGAGGTGGCGGGGGGCAGCGTTCTCAGCCAGGGAGAGCCATTCTGTTCCCTTCATGAACACTTCGAAGCACCTGTCACCGCCCAGGTACTTTGCTAGGCTCCGGGGATCCCAGGGCAAGTCTGGCATGGTTCCTGCTGTGAGCAGCTCACAGTCCACTGGAGGAGACAGACGTGCAGGCCTTGGCCGAGCCCAGGATCAGGGTCTCAACAGAGCAGGCACTCCCGAGGGGAGCCCATGGGAGGGCGAGCCCCTCTGCTGGGGGTGGCAAGGTGGGCGTCTCTCCCACTCTGGCCAGCCCGTTCGAGCTGAAACGGAAACATAAAAAAGAGGCAGGAGTTTGCCGGTTGAAAACATGCATAGGGCACAGTGTGGACATGGGGAAGGGAGGAGTCAGAGTCGACACGCTGGTCACGTGTGAGTGTTCGCCCCGTGCGGGCGTCATGACAGGTCCTGTCCGTGCACATGCTCACTTCACCACAGCCAAGCGAGTGCGGGCGCCGCTGAGCCCCCCGTGCTGCGGGCGAGGCTAGACTGGCAGAGTGCTCGGCCCATCCGCACCCCAAGCAGCAGACTGGTTTCTCCCCCTCCTCACCGGGACGATGTTCTGCCGTCACTGCTTTCTCCACGAGGGAGAGGGTCGCCGTGTCGGCACCCGTGGGTCAGTCTCCGGCTGGTGG